CAAAATTAGCAACCATCTTTGTTAAATAAAACTGTAAACTACTCTCTTAGCATAGTTTATGAGCATGATCACCAAACCAAAGCCATTTTGAATCCAGATACAAAAAAACACCCCCCCCCCTTCCTTGGCCTCTCTCTTTAGTTAATACACACTAATATTTTGGTATAATATAGGCTCTTTCCTTGAGAATGAGTGAAAATGTGAGAATTTCCATTTGTGATTTCAAAAATGAAATAAAATCCCACAAAAACAAACAGATGTGATTCCAGGCCAGATTCCTATCACATATAAAGGAACCTCACTTTCAGAATGCGAGGTGCATGGAAGTACAACAACATAGCATTTCCTCTCCACCTCTAGCTCATCCAAAAATTTCAATCGGTGCAGCTGTAGAAGATGCTTAAATGTAAAAAGTAAACAGTAAAATCTGATACAAACTTCAGTATTAGCAATAATCTATACAATCCTCACAGAGAAAAATGGACAACAGTCCTAACTTTATGGAAATCAAACTAACAAGATCACACTGGAGGGAAATAGGTTCTGACACAGCTAGAAAGTGGAACTAGAATTGAATAGGAAAGTAATGGTGTCCCTGTTTAGTGGATTTACTCCTCAACTTTGGGCCTACATATAAGTCACCACAGCCTTTGATAGACATGACACCCCTAATGGTTCTAGAGAAATGTAACTGGGTTTTCAGAAATGATTCGGAAAACATACAAAATTTAGTAGAGAATGCAATTCTTCCTATAGGTTTTTCTCACCCTCTTATATTCCCGCTGTTGAAATCAATACTTTTCTATCAAATCCTCCAGGATAGATTTGTTTAGCCTTTTTAAAAAGGATGTGTGAATAAAATACAAACAATTAATATAAAATGAATATATTGCACTTTAATTCAATACAAGATCTCCTAAGTGTCCTTAATCTTCAAGATCTTAACAGACTTGCCTAATAGCAAAGCGAACTGATGTGATAGTGACAGGATGTGGAGAGGATTCTTTCCCTGACTCAGTTTTCTATGCCGACCCTAGCTTTTGAGACACAGTTGAGGGATGAACATTGGCAGCTGTCTTAACAAGGATTTTTACTCAAATGTATCCTTTTTATTAGAAAAATCCAAGGACTGTGGTCTCAAATTAACATAAAATGTTAACCAGCAATAAAATGCAGACCAAAGATAATGGTTATTAAATAAAAATAATCAAGCTTTAATCACACATTCCAATTCAAATTAATAGATTAATAGTAAACATGTAAATCTTAGTCTTACCTGGGAACATAGAGTTATAATAAGCAGAAAACCCATATTCCGAGTTATAGGAGTCTCTGTGTAATAGAACTGTCAGTGTGTTTGAAGATGATACATAGCTGAGATTTGACCCATTACAGATTCTCCCAAGTAAGGGGGATGCATACAGGGGTCCATCATAGATTTCAATAAATTCCTGAAAGCAGTTCAAACTGTGGAAGAAAGTTAACAACATATGTTTTATAAACTGGGTAATATAGTCACATTAT